TGGATGAATGGATGGATGGATGGATGGATGGATGAATGAATGGATGAATGAATGAATGGATGGATGGATGGATGAATGGATGGATGAATGGATGGATGGATGAATGGATGGATGGATGGATGGATGGATGGATGGATGGATGGATGAATGAATGAATGAATGAATGGATGGATGGATGAATGGATGGATGAATGGATGGATGGATGGATGAATGAATGAATGAATGGATGGATGGATGGATGGATGGATGTACTTCTAGAGATTTTCTCCCGTGAGTATTTTGCTGGTATGAAGCTTCGTCGCCTTCGTGCTGGAATTTTAGACAAAGTTTGTAAAGTGAAGAGTTGCAGCTGTTTTCATCAAATCTTTAATGTTAAGCAGAGTGTGTGCCATTTTGAGTTCTTCCCAGTTCCTTTGGGTTCTCCCTCTGCTCCTTTATGCCCCGCCCACTCGCACCTGTTCCTTGTATCAGTTTCATCAGCTTTAGTTGTTTTCTATCTATCATCATCTTGTTCAGGTCTCGGGGGCAGCAGGGAGGTCCAGCCATCTCTTTCCTCTCTTCCAGTTCTCCTGGGAGGACTCCAGTTCTCCTGGGAGGACTCCAAGCTGTTCCCAGAGCTGCTGAGGAACAAAGTCTCTCCAGCATGTCTTGGGTCTTCCTCCTGGTCAGACATGCCAGGAGCAGGGAGCGTCCTTACCAGATGAACCACCTCAACTGGCTCCTCTGGATGTGGAGGAGCAGCGGTTCTACTCCGTCTCTCCTGAGGACTGAACTTCTCAGCCTATCTCTGAGGAGAGTCCAGCTACTCTGCAGAGGAAACTCATTACGACCATTTGTATTCTCGTTCTTTGTGTCACCACCCAGAGTTCTTGACCACAGGTGAAGGTAGGAACGTAGACCGACCTGTAAACAGAGACCTTCTCCCTGCAGCTGAGCTCATTCTCTATTTTTAGCTTCTCTTGTTGATGTGGGTCACATTTGAAGCGATGCATAAAATGCAAACATTGGGCTTTTGTGACGCTCCGTGCTTCCACGAGCAGACTGAAAAGGACAGTGTCTTTATCCAGAGGGACTCTGAGAATAAAACGATGCTGACCTCGTAGCTCCTGGGCCCTCAAAGCATTGAATCAACGTCTCTGAAGAACTCACACACTCCATGTTTGAATTCCTCAAAGACTGAAAGAAAGGAGAGCTTGAATCATTCCAAACAAACAGAAAGCGGAGTATTTTAAGATCCAAATGTTTTTAATATACATTTAATTAGCATTTAATCAGGTCTTCGTTTCCTGTACTGCCCAGATGTTTGAAAAATGTTCAGACAAGAAGTTGGTCTCCATGACAACACACCAAAGTTCATGCTCCACAGGTACAAATCCAACAATGTTCAATCAGGTCATCTGCGTGGTTTCTTCTTTTGCTGACATGTTTCGTCCTTCATCCAAAGGACTTCTTCAGTCTCCATGAAACAATCCTGACAACGTAAAACTGGTTTAGTAATTCTTCTAAATAATTTAAATCAGGTCCTCTGGATGGACTAAAAATAAAATTGGATTAAACTTGTTGAAATGTTTCGTCTTTAATCCTAAAGGCTTCTTCAGTCTGAGGAGCTGCAACAAACTCAGTCTTATAAATATCACCTTCTCATGGTGGATCAACCAGTTTGTTGTTGACATCCAGAACCAGCTGTTCACATGAAAGAGGAGGATGAAGGTTTAAGCTCAATCGTCCAGGTAGAAAACCACAAAAAAAGTTTAAACCGAGTCATCTGGACCCGTTCCTTTAAGTGAGAAATGTTTCGTCTCCCATCCAGAGGACTTCCTCAGTCGGTGGCCTGCCAACCAGATCTTTCCCTTTTTCCGAACCACTTTGGTCTTGGTTGTCCTCAGGCTGTTTCTGTAACAAGTTGGTCATCTGTCCTAAAACATTTGATTGTTGCACGTGATGATTGCTTTGCACGTGTTAAACGTCTACTCCTGAGATCTCAACAGGAGGTTGTCTTGATACAGCAGATGGGACAGATCTGGTCGACAGGCTGTAGACTGACAAAGTCCTCTGGATGGAGGAAGAAATGCTTCTCACTTAAAAAAAACTGGTCCAGATGCCATGATTTAGCCTTTTTTGTTAAGAGGACCATCAGCCTAACAGCTGGTGGCCGCTTGCTCTTCACAGAGCGCTGAGTGAAATAACGAGCGGCCTCAACAAGTTTGCTACTGTTGTGCAGTGGCTGCACAGCAGTTCTGGACAGGTGGACCAGAACATCTTGTTTAGAGTGTAATTCAGGATGTGATAAGTTTGGTGACCCACTGTTTGTAAAAGTAGCTCAGAGTTGGAGGAAGCAGAAATATTTCCGCTCCAGGTGTGAGATGATCACAGCGTGGTGGATTCATGTCAGGCTGACGAGACTCTTATCTGCAGTCCTGGTGGCTTTTTGTCTAATCCTTGAGAACTTCACCCCCCCACCCCCACCCCTTCAGTTTAATCCTCCACTCCCTGGCACCGGTCCTATCTCAGCCCGTAGACACAACACACACACGGTAGTGTGTGCTTGGCTCTCGGAGTCAGACTTTATAATCCTGAGAACCAAAACACGGAGAATCAAATCTGGTTTTAAAACTCCACGACAAACACGAGCAGCGAGAAAGAACTCGAGGTCAAAGCCCAGCTGTGATATCAAAGTTCTGGTCGGTTCTGGTGGATGTTCTGGATATGTGAGGCCTTCGAACACATTTTGTGACATTCCTTGAAAATGTTTGTTTTTATTTGCTGCTTGCATTTGTTTCACCTTCAGCTGCAAAGACCGGACTTTGGACCAGAAACCCAAACACTTGTGCAGCGCGGGACAATATTTACTCTCGGGCCGTTTCCTCTCCCCTTCCAACAGTCTTTGTTGTGCCCTCGTCGTTCGTGTTATTGGACTCCGGTTGTTTCACTCGATCCTGTTTTGTCTCGACTCGCTTCAGCTCACAGGAAACAGTCGAGGTCTCAGATTTACAGTCAGGCCGTTGAACCCTCAACTGTCTGTTTCCTCGTCCTGCTCTGTCTGCCAGAAACCATTTAATATGGTCTTTTATTATTATTGTTGTTACTGTAAACCAGTGGTTCCCAACCGTGGTCCTTGAGGAACACCATCCTGTGTGTTTTTACAAGCCTTGGACTCTGTCTTTCAGTTTTGTGACCTTCAGAGATTTCCACCAACATGGATCCTGTCAAACTGCGATCTGAGTAAATCTGATGCTGTCGAGGTGTCTAACGTTCGTGCACGTCATCCGTCACAGCTGCTCGTCTCTGACGCACGCTCACCTTCAGTGAGTTCTCCGTCGATTAATAAATGAGTTAAAAATAGCGCAGCTGGGTGTGCTGGCCCAGTTCTGCTTGGTTTCATTTCATGCTGAATATCGGCTGCGAGGACTCATCCAGACGACGAGAAGCTTCTGCAGTGATCCAGTCTGACAAAACTCCTCACCGTGAGAACGCTGAGTCAGCATCACTGTTGTTTCCTTCAGGCTAACGACTTCTGTGGATCTCGAGTTATTTTAGCTGTTCGTGTCTCAAAACTTTCGGCTCATTCAGGAGATGACTTTTAACTTTTTACAACTTTCAAAATATTTGACTTTAGTAACATTCTCTCAATAGAAATACATCAAGATCTTTTCAGTTCCTTTAAACAAACTCTGAAATTTGCTTCAGGACTCTGTCTGCTTATGCTACGTTTAGCTTTAGGCTAGTCTATTGAAACATTTAGCTTTTAATGCTTATGATACTTTTAGCTTTTAAATTATGTTTTGCTACTTTTTAGCTTTTAGCTATCATACTGCTACTTTTAGCTTTAGGCTATTGAAACATTTAGCTTTTACCTGCCTATTTGATACTTTTAGTTTTTATTCATTCAACCTTTATTTATACAGGTTAGTCTCATTGAGCCTTGAGGACGCTGTAGCTGCACTCACGCAGAGACATGGAGGAGGAGATGTATGAAGGCAGCAGACCAAGAAGTGATTTAAAGATGAAGATGTACCAGTGAGAGAGTCTGCGTGAAGTTAATGATGACAAGTTAACCAGTGAATACTGGGTGCAGTGGTGGGTACGATAATCACAGCCAGTTATGAATCTTAATGCACCATGATAGACAGCATCCAACATCTGCAGCATCCAACATCTGCAGGGTTCTTGTAGGAGCGTTCATGTAAATAATGTCACCGTAATCAATGGAGGGAAGGAAAGTCACAGTTACAAGGTGTTTCCTAACATTCAGGGTTAGACAGGATCTGTTTCTGAAAAAGAAACCCAGTTTAACTTTCAGTT